ACCTTGATGATAGACCCAGTGTTGCCACTTTGGTTATTATTAACCAAAATTGGTTATTTTTATTTTGCATGTATACATGTGAATTATTTTTTCGTTTTGGTTATTTTTTGCAAACAATTGAACTAAATGCTGTTTGCTTTTATTCTAAAAACAAAATTAAAAAACCTTCTTTTATCAACTATGTAAATATACATATTGTCCTGTTTTGAATTTTGGTAATATGTGGAATTTTTTTTACTATTCGAATTTTTTTATTACTGCAATTTGTACATCTACTGGTTATACTTATGTGCACAAAGGTATTTTTCGATATCTTTATTGGTTAGGATTTAGCAAATGTACCTATGAGTTTTCCACATATTAAATGAGTTGATTAAAATCATAATAACACCGTAATATTATTTTATTTACACTAGTCAATCTAACACCGTGAATAATGAATCCTCTCTCTCCTTTTGGTGCATCCATGAACTTAAAATCACTTTTTGGGTCGATTCAAACTCGTCCGTCCTTCCTTTAATATTTCTATTGGAACTTTTTATGTAAAGAACTCGCGATACTTATATGAAAAAACGAAGTAGGCTGTATTTCGCATTTCGATTTTTATGGAATTTAGTGGGAATAGTCTTAGTAGATTATGTCCTCCAAATTAAATTTAAAGTATAATTGCAACTTCTATACCTATTTGAAATTTTGCATAAACAGATACTGTGCTAATTTGGCGAAATTCTAAGATAAATGATTTAATAAGAATTAATAAAGTATTTTCTGCTAATTGATGCAAGAATAGTATCACAATATCTTTAAAGTATTAATCAACTGATATTTTTAAGTAACACAGCTAAGGAAAATGAAAGTGTATTGTATACAAAAGTTGTAATAACATCTAAACTCGTACGACGAACAATAATATCGATATATGCAAAGATTTGAAACTCATGACCTTTGACTTCTACTATCTCACCATGACTTTTAGTTCTTTATTTACATTTTCTAGATGATGTTGTATACTAGTTTTTATTTTATCGTCTTAAATTCTAAATTTTGGTCAATTTGTCGGATAATTTGGATAGATTACGTTTACAAATATTGCTGAAGTTATGAATGTAATGCTAACATCCGCTACATGGTATTATAATTTGGTCAAATATACCCCTTAAACCCAAATTTCGAACGAAATTTCCAAATCTGTACATAAAATGCTCATAATGTATTGCAATATAGCAACAAAATTCAACATAATCAAGGTTTAAAGGAACTAAAATATCTCTGTCAGATTTTATGAGAATTGGTCCATAATTGACCATAAGTCTCATATAAGATCCCGTACAGAAAATTACTTTAACGCTCATAACTGTCTTCATAATACCAGTTTAGCGACGAAATTTAACATAGTTCCACTTCAGAAAATGAATTTGTTACTTTAATGTCCAAATGTAAACATGAAACAAATAAAAATAATTTTGTTTACTTTTTTCCTAATTTGGTTATTTTTTATTCGAATTTTGGTTAGAAAAATTTTTTTTTTGTGGCAACACTGGATAGACCCCATCTTGTTGTGATTGCAATCCCGGGGAAAAGAGGTGCTACCTCTAGTCTGCAGGAACTTTAAACTGGTGATGATCAAATGTATCCTCGGCCTTTCCTTGGAATGATTTGACATGAGGATGAAACAGAGAATCACATAATCTGGTACCACAATCACATAAACCGGTAGCCCCCTGGGTAGAGTATCGGATTATGTTTCGTCCCGGTTGTTCGGGGTGAACGAGGTTGTAGTGGTTTAAAACCCAAATTCGCAGGAAGAAAATGTCAGTTATAAGACTGATGCGCGGTGAAATCTATAATTCGGGATAAGTACGGTGCTGTTGTCGAAATCAACAGATACCCCACAGAGGAGTGACTGTGGGGCTATGCATTGGAAATGAGTTGGTGTTGAGTGTATATGATTCAGGATGAATGTATATGGATCTTGCCTGCTCGTATACCTAGAGTGAGTGTGTCCGATGATATTCTCTATGGGTGTGTCGAATGAATGAGAAGTGTGCTGAGTATCTTATACAAGTGATACCATTGAATTTTCCTTCCTCGTCCTGGTATGTTCAGGGAAAACTCTGTTCATACCAGATTTACCACAGTTTATTCTCTGTGAGTAAGAACAAAGTCCTCGGTTTATTTGATGGATTCGTGTTTCGTTCTACCGAATACGTCTCTAGGTGCTGTTGCCGACTCAACAGAGGCCATCCCATCTGAGTGGTTTGAAACGAAAGTAATGTTTTTGCAACTCGGATGTTAAGCAACGGGGCAGAAATGGTCAGAGATTAGATAGCTCGACTACTTGAAGTGCTTTTACATGGACAGGCAAAACTATGCATAAAAATTTTTCTTACAAGCAGGTATAAGAAGCACAAAGGGTCTGTGGTGAGTCGTCTAGTCTGCTCAAGGGTTGGAAAAGTACGATACGGCAGGTGTTCATTCTGATGAGTCTACAAAATTGGCATGTTAAATCTACAAAGGTGGGATGATAATTCTGCAAAATGCGTCGAAACTTTTTGAAATGGCTGACTCCACCCTGGGTAGAATGGAAAGGAAACAGTAAAGAACGATTATGGATTTTTTATAGTGCCAATGCAAAGAATCGACGAAATCTTGGGGAAATATAGTATCTGATTATTTTGTAGTCTCATCATCCCAATTTTGTAGACTCATTACCCCGAAATGGTACTTAAGAGCTCCAATCCTGTGGAAAAGGCAATTTTTCAACGAAAAGGCGACATATAGCACATGAAAAAATAGTAAAGAATGGTGTTCCAAGCTACATTTTTTCTCGATGCAGAAGTCAGTAGAAAGGTTCAACCTCAATCCGATTAAGAATTTGTTAAATCGTGAAGTAGCGGTTGGGACAGTGCTGATTAACCCCAACCAATTTTTAGCAGCGGGTTCAGAAACATATTAAAATCATATAGAAGATATTAGAGCATATTAAATGAAAAAAATTATTGTTTATCCAAACAAATTGACATCACTTTGAAAGATGATCAAATCTAACAGATATCAAATATTTTCCTAACTCTTCCTATACTTATATTTTCCCTATAATGATTAAGCATTTTTTTACAAGATCGCAAAATCTTTTAACAACAAATTTCAACACATAATCACAAATTTATCGCAAAACAAAAAAATGAAAGTCACGATCCTTGTTAAACATATAAAAAGTCACGGTGTCAATGTCAATGACTTGCTAAAATGCAAAAGAAATTATATGGTTGAAAAATTTAAGAAAAAGCGTGGGTTTCTAAAAACAAAATAATTTTTAAATGTTTATGAAAAAAATACCAATTTACCAAATCAGAAAAATATCATAATAAATGCAATAATATGAAGAAAAGTATAAGTGAGTACATATTTAAAGAAATCAATCATAAATATTTACAAATTACACTGCAAGTACGAGTAATAATAGACTGGCATAGCATGGCAAAATATTTATGGTAAGCATGATGATGTTGCAAATAAAATATTGCACACACAGGTTGCAGTAATATAAAGGAGAAAGACAGCGACTAAAAGTGACTCTATGCCAAGGGTGGACAGAGGGATAACAAGTTGCTTACATTTCTACAAAGGGTCTTGAAGCAATACTTGATCGATCCTCATATAACTTTATTTATAGGTTAAGGTTTTAATACCGTTTTGAATGGTAGAGGTAGGTCCTACTAAGCTTGGGCCTCGAGAACAGTACAGACAGACTAAGAATAATAAGAATGTTTTTCGAATCTAAAGGTTTACAATAATCTGGGGCAAGATTCACTATTTATGGGGTATTACAAACATCAACATTATGACACTGAGCGTCTTGAAGATTCATGTAGTGTACAAGAAAATCACCACTGAAATGCCACACAAATTAATAAACTCTTTTAATGATGATGAACAAATTGATGGCTGCAAGTATAAAAATAAAATGCAGTAAAATTATTTGAAAAACACAACATCAATGACAAACTCTCTAGGGGAGCTGGTAGATAAATAAGCAATCAGTAATTCCTTTAAAAGACATTCAATGTAAACAAATCAACCATACGATGCAATATAAATACAAACATATATGATGATTTTCACATCAAAAAAAAAAACACCAGCAAGTAGCATATATTGGTCATGAAAGATATACGACAACAAAAAAAAGTTAATATAAGTGTCATTACCACAATTGGTAGGAAAATATGTTCAGTTGAAATAAAAACGTTGAAAAAAAAACTAGAGAAAAAGTGAAAAAAAAAACAATTAAATTAAGCAAAAGTGTTTTAGCCGAAAGATTAATGATCATTACAACTTAACAACAATAATAAACAGACAGACAGACAAATCTACAGATGGTAAAAATAAGGTAAACAACAACAGTAGCTTTAGTAAACAACAATACAACAAACAAGTTTGTTTACCAACTTAAACCTCAAGACCTCATACTAACTGAATGGTTGCAAGACAACGACTTACAACCGATCTTGTCTAAGACAAGTTGCGCTAGGTTGGAGCCCAGTTTGAAAGAGTGAAAGAAATGCTCTTGTACGTTGTCTTTCTTGTGGGCAAAAATCAAAACAAAACCAATGAAGGAAAGACAGAAATGAAGAATGAAAAAGAACTGAAACAATTTTCAACAAAAACAAACACTAACGAAATGTTCAGAAAACTTATGAATGGGATGTATAAAAGTATAGACAACAAACCAAATTGGCATTAGTATTATAGAAGAATTTATATTGTAAGCACTACCAAAGTTGAAACAAAAAACTGAAAAATATTTTTATAAAAAAAGTATAGTGCTTACAAAAAGAAAAAAACACCAACACTAAAGGACTATTACACATAATCAAATACCCAAAGGATTATTTTATAAAAATATTTAAAGTGAAAAAATATACAAACACAAAAAAATAATAAGAAAACAAAAAAGTGCAAACAAAAAAAGTGCTAAAATTGTTTACATATCAAAAATGTGGCCAAAAAAGACATTTACCATTTCTCATCTATTAATAATAGTGTTTATAACCTTCTGTGTTTTAACAACTACCACTAGTGCCAGCACTGAAAATATTTCATCACCCTCCTCCTCTTCGACATCGACAACAACATCCCTACAAAATGCTGGCACACGCACAGTGTTACGCATCTATGATGAGTGCACCCGTGCCGAAGGTGGTTTTGTGCCATGTCTTAAGAAAAAGGCAATTTCCTTTATTGACCGCATCTCGTACATTGATGCTATTACCGTGGCTGATGGCATAAAAGTTGTACGCCTACCGGGCACCTCATTACATGATCTGCCAGCTATACGTCCTATGTTTAGTGAAAATGAAGTGGAATCATCGTTATCGCGTTCCGGTGAAGATCGTGATACGAAATTAACGAATATGTTGGTGGAACGTTTGAGTAATTTCTTTAATGGTCATACGTTGCAAGTTAGTTTTCCGAAATTGACTTCGGAGGAAATTGGCCGGGGACTGGAAGAAGGTAGGTAGATTTATTGTATAATTGGGTTGAAATTTAAAAATAAAGTTCTTCTGATGGTGAATTTAATTTAATAAGCATCAGCTGTTAATGAATATATTTCGAAATGGGTCTCAAAAGTTCCGTAATTTTGAGCTTATCGCTAGAAAAATAATTAAAATTTTTGTTAAAATAGTTCTGGTCCGCAAAACAACTTTAAGTGTATTATAAAGAAATTTCTGAAATAGACATAACCAAATGCGAAAAATTACAAAAATTTTGACACCTATTTCGATAAAAAGTGAAAATAATATGCATCTCCAACCCAATAAAATTTATTTTTTGGACCAAATATTGTAAAAAAAAATTTAATCATTTTTCACGTAATTAGCGCAAAATTGCGGAATTTTTGAGACCCATTTCTAAAATATTGGACAAATTTTTTGAACATATTGTAGTGAGATCAAGATTTTCAATCGCTGGAAGGGAACTGAGGCCCCTTTCAAAAAAATATCTTTTTATTTTTCTACGGCTGTATTTATAAAAACTTATTTTAGGTTTATTAAACAATTTTAGGCAAAATTCAGGAAAATCGTATTTATAAACGTGAAATAGCTTAAAACACCTTCAATAAACCATTGACAATTAGAAGAATTTTATTGTAGGCTCGACCCTTCTTTAAGCCAACAATAAGTTGATTTTTAACAATTTTTTTCTCAGATAAAGATTTTTCCTAATTATGGTTTCTTTTAAAATAAAATCTAAAAATTCTAATTTTAACGTTTACAAATTTGTAAATAAAATCCCAGAAAATTTTTAAACGATTATATTTTGAGGAAAAAACTCAAATCTAGGCATTATTGGATTAATGCATGAATATTTGACAATATTCCAATTGTCCAGCACTATTTTTAGGCAATTTGGAAATGCCCGTCTGTCAACCAAATGATGGACAAAATCATTTGATTTGGCTTTTTCGAAGTTTGTTGGTTAAATATAATGCCATAAAGTAATTAACCATGTAAATTATATTGATTAGTGTTATACTAATGCAAAATATATTCGCCGGCATTAAAATTAGTCAAATATCAAAGAAATTTATCAATATTTGCAAAAATTTATCAAAAATTACAAGGAAAATAAGTAAAAATAAGAAAATGTGTCATAGTGATGTATATTTTGTCGCAAAATATCCGTTATTCGGATACTTTTAATAATAATTAGAAATTATATGTTATATTTATACATCTGAACTAAATAGACATTTATTAAAGCCATATATATATTTATTTTTCTTAAAAGTTTGTTTTTATTGTCAAAAATCTATTATAAACAAAAATATGAAATTAAGAAAACCGAATCAACGAATATTTTATCCTAATTGTACGCAACACTAACACATAAAATGACAGCCATATTGTACAGTGCTGCCAACTTAAACATAAATCAGCACAATAGTTAATATACGTTTATTATTTGTTTATGAATATCACAATTTTATTAATGGTTTTTAAGGCTAAAGTGTGCTTTAACTATTGAGTGCATTAAAAGCAAAATAAGATTTTTTTATATTATTTTTATTTTATTTTTTATAAATACAAGCGCTAGTGTTTAGGACTTATATATGCATTGATTGAGAGGTATTCTGACATTAGATTCTTTAAAAGGCAGTTTCTCGGGACACTCTAATGGACACTATGACATGCCACCACTACCATGCCAATATCTTAGGACTTTTCAGTTTGATTGGTCTATTCTCTCAATTTGGATAAATTCACTAATTTTCTTATTTATCTCCAAAATTCCTTGCCGGACCAAAAAATATCTAATTCCTTGTGTCAATTTTTATACAGTATTTGTTTTTGGACCCAAAGATTACATAAAATTCTTTCATTTTTGCAATGTATAGTCATTTTTGTTCTCCTTTAAGAGCACATGTTTTTTTGTTCCGATCTGTTACGCTTGAAAGCTGTTTATATTTTGGCGCCAATTTTTTGTCATCTATACTAATTTGTTGCTATTCTTTTTGCAACTCTAATAAAATACGTACATACATATTCATGTATAAATGTATCTCTCATTTGCAACAAAAAATGTACAAAAATCTTTCAGATTGTTTTATAGTTTTTATTTTTTACGGTCCCTGTTTTTATTATATTTAATTGAAACTATATTTTTGGAGTTATGACCTTTTAGGTCCTAATAAACGATATACATTTATAGAGAAATAACGAAGAATATATAACAATAAGTTCACGTTTCATATCTGTTGCACCGAAAATACTACAAGGTCAAAGGTCTTGGAACACATAATAAACCCATTAATATTTAGGTTAATTGCTATTCAGATCTTGTACGATTTTGATGAATCAGTTATTTATGATATATCAGTATAACAATGATACTTCATTTACCTGTTCAGACTAACTATACTGTTTCCTTTACTGATTATTTAGAAACCGATTCTAGATGTAACACTTTATATGACAATCTATTACATTAGCATGGCGGTCTATATCCATTATATATATTACGATTATACAGGTCAACGATGAAAAAACTTTTTAAATAATTTTCACTAATCCCAGTCTCATTTGGTGTGCTGATTACATTAAAATCAGTTGAATTGGCTTCAAACCTTTTCACAAACCTTAATTTTGTTGGCCTGTGTTATTTTTTGAATTACAGTAGGACCTGGATTATCCGTGATTCGATTAACCCGTAACATTAATTATCCGGAAAAGAAAAAGAATTTTTTTTTGCATCGACGTAATTTTTTTTTTTTTGATCGACTTAAATTTTTTTAACATCGTTTAACCGTGATTATAAGCAAAATTTTTATTCTACATATTTTTTTTGAATAATAAGAACAACGCGAAAAAGGGAATTCCCTCTTTAGTACACACAGAGAAAAGGAAATATACACGACTGGTACCAAATTGACACCAAGTTAGTTAGTTAGTATGAAAGGAGGATGTATATACATCAAATCCGAAGAAATAGATCTAGGCCTCTATCGGGCCTGTTGTGCGCTCCTTAACCAGTGCCTCAGATGGGAATCGAACCCACCACCTCCGGTCTACCAGACTAGAACACTAACCACTAACCTACTGGAGGCCACAAATTGGCACCAAAGAGTTTATAGTTTTTCAATAACATCCGTTGTCAACGTTGTCAACATTGAAACAATTCGTTTTCGAAATCTATATTTTATACACATCCGTTGTCTAAATGTTAACAAACGTGGTAAGCTCACTATTGGCAACGGATTGTTTGTTAATAGTGAGCATAACACGTTCGTTAACATTTAGACAACGAATGTGTATAAAATTTATATTTCGACAACGAATTGTTGCAATGTTGTCAACATTACATTGTGTTGTCATACATGCGTACGACACTTTGACAACGCTCGAGAAAAAGTGATACACTTTTTCGACGTCCTTTTTTATACTTTATGTGAAACGGGTAAGGCCGATTTGAAATTTTCAAAAATTTTGTAAAGTTATAACCTTAATATACATATTAAGATTCTTTTATGTACTAGGAGCAACAAAAAAACTTACATGCTTATTTAAATATCCTTACAAATAGTGAATTTCAAAACATACCTGGAAAGATAAAAAAAATTGATATAAAATTATTAGATTCATATATTATTTGATAAAAAAGGATTATGATAAAAACATGCCGCTTAGTATAAATTAATTGTAATAGTTTTATTCTAATTAATTCTTTACAAGTTATTAAACATTACTTCTGCAGTAGTTAAGAAAATGTACTTAGTGACACTTTTGAGTTATGAAAAGAAATATACACTCCTGGTACCAAATTGACAGCAAACTGTTTCAATAACATCCGTTGTCAAAGTATATACATATGTACGACAACACTATGTAATGTTGACAACATTGCAACAATTCGTTGTCGAAATCTAAATTTTATACATATCCGTTGTCTAAATGTTAACAAACGTGGTAAGCACACTATTAACAAACAATCCGTTGCTATGTTGCAATGTTGTCAATATGTAACATAATCTCTGGTGTAGGGTATCGTATGGTCGGCCATGTACGACTATAAATTCTTGCTTGTTTTACATTTTCATAAATGTAACAATGCCCTATTTGAGGGGTTATTAGTGCATCATTATCTTGAAAATTGTACTTTGATAACACAGACGGACGGATATGGCTCAATCGATGCAAAAAATGTTTTCAAGCCGATTGATATACTTGAGGTTATATAGCCAATATTTTTGCGCGTTACAAACATCAGCAGAATATATGGATGCATCTTCCCCACTAAAGTGGTGTAGGGTATAAAATCTCATCTAACTCACTAATTATGTCACAATAATTAGAAAAAAACAGGTGAAATTATAAAAATATTTTATAAAAGTTAAAAATACTAGAGTAATTTCTTTACAGTCCATATATTTATGTAGTTTATACTTAAGACATTTTCTGACACTTAATTTGAAGTTATTTAATTAGAAAGTTAATAAAACATAGCTTTATAACGCGTCAGTTGGTAAAAATGTAGACAAGAATTTTTTTTATGAACTTGTTTACAACTCTATATAGAATTTAAAAAAAGTGTTTCACTTAAATTTGAAAAAAAAAAATCTTTATTATAACAAAAGTATTTTTTATTGCAACCAAATTAGTAGCATTTTTCTGATATACATACATATGTATGTTTGTAGGTACTCAAACATTTGTGTTTGAGCTTTATTTTCCAACCACTAAAAATCATCTCGTGACAAAGAAACCATGTTAAATAAAAAAATAATAAAAAAACACGGTATGTATTTTTAAAAAGTTAGAGAAATAAATTTTATGACATTTTTACATGATATACTTTTTGTGGGAAAACTAGCAATTGTTTATATTTTTCAATTTATTTTGCATAGAGCCGAAACCGAATATTACACTATACAACAAATTTAGGGTCATGATCTGGAGGGTGAAAAATTCCCATTATAATTTAAAGTACTAGGTTAGAGTATTAAATCCCCCAAA